TGCTGAAATCCAGTTTGTTGTATGCTGCCTCGCAATCGTTGAACTTTTTGGTCTTTGCATTGGGCTTCTGGTATGGTGGTACACTGATTGGAAAGGGCGAATACAACCTTTTCCAGTTCTTCCTCTGCTTCATGGCTGTCGTTTTCGGTGCCCAGTCGGCTGGTTCTATTTTCTCCTTCGCCCCCGACATGGGCAAGGCTCATCACGCCGCTAGGGAGCTGAAGGTCTTGTTCGATCGTCAGCCCACTATTGACACCTGGTCAGAGCAAGGCCAGCCGTTGCCCGAGGTCGAGGGAAGCCTTGAATTCCGCGATGTTCACTTCCGTTACCCAACTCGCCCGGAGCAGCCAGTTCTGCGAGGATTGAACTTGACCGTCCAGCCTGGACAGTATGTTGCCCTGGTTGGTGCCTCTGGCTGCGGCAAGAGTACTACAATTGCCCTCTTGGAACGATTCTACGACCCATTGACTGGCGGTGTATACATTGATGGCAAAGAAATCAGCACGCTCAACCTGAACGAATACCGGTCACACATTGCTCTGGTTAGCCAAGAGCCGACGTTATATCAGGGAACTATCAAGGAGAACATCCTGCTTGGAACTGCGGACCCAGATGTCACAGACGAAGCCGTGGAATTGGCTTGTCGCGAGGCTAACATCTATGAATTCATCATGTCCTTGCCCGAAGGATTTAACACCATTGTCGGTAGCAAGGGAGCTCTGTTGTCTGGTGGTCAGAAACAACGTATTGCCATTGCCCGAGCTCTTATTCGTCACCCCAAGATCCTTCTTCTTGATGAAGCGACTTCTGCTTTGGATTCTGAATCTGAGCACGTTGTGCAGGCCGCCTTGGACAAGGCTGCCAAGGGCCGTACCACCATTGCCGTGGCTCACCGTCTCAGCACAATCCAAAAGGCAGATGTCATCTACGTCTTCAACCAGGGCCGCATAGTCGAAGCTGGTACTCATGCCGAGTTGATGAAGAAGGACGGCCACTATGCGGAGCTTGTCAAGCTTCAGAGTCTGGCCAAGAACAACTAGAATCTTTCTCCTCTCTTTTTTGCTTTTTATTTTTTTTTTGCGCATGAGATATCCGGACAGCAAAAAGCTGCCCTATCCATCTATTGGCGTTGATTGGTGACATAGACTGAAGAAAGTGCATGCATTACACACAGCCTTTCATCTAGGGAGAGGACGAATCCATATTTTGTTTTATAAAAGTTGTATCTAATTGCGGTTACTCATGGTGTATTACCCAGGACCACACTCTTCTCTTCCATGTTACTCTTGTTTTATATTTTTGTTTTAGTGATGGGGCTCTAGAGGGTTGTTTTCATTTACGCAGTGTCACAGGGGAAAGTGCAGGGGATGAGATACGGAGACCCAAGGTCAGACACGCAGATATGTACGACATGATCAGTGCTCAGCGCTGAAGATGGATGAATATAAAGACAATTCAAGACTTGAAAATGAATATTATTTTTTGTAGTGATTGTACTTTGAATCCCTTAGTGTGGCTTGAAATGTTTTGGGTGCTTTGGTCTTATATAGACGAGACACGGCTGTTGTTAATGCGGCTTTGTGTTTTGGTCATCGCGCTTCTCTTACATTTGATCACCAGACCTTGGTGCAACCAACGCTAGTGGGAGCCCGGGAATCGGCTACAAGAGTCGGCGAGACCTGGCGATTTGATGATTGACTGCGAAAGGCCTGGGGGATGACATTTCCCCTGAGATGGCATCCGTGAGAGCGGTCACCTTTCTATTGGATGTGCAGACTCAGAAGCTGCCGCAATCGTGCATTGCCGTCTCAGTGGATATCTGACACCTTCTCCTACCTAGTAGTATTTGATGACACATTTCTGGGATATTCATGAAGATGTGGTCTGGGGGAGGAGTTTACTTGTAGAGTTGGTTGCATTGACACTCGTTGTGTTTTACGCGCTGTCTTGCGCCACATGGGCAAGACAGGTATTGATCTTGGAGGGGTGTATTTGTCTGATGAATGGTCGGAGCTCCGTGGAATATATTGTTTCGAGAAAGTTTACTGTTGAAATGATTTGGGTAGAACTATTATTGCGAGTATATGCGTGACGATGTGCTCAATTCTTCTCTCCCTAAAGACATACTACTGGCTGGGCGTGGCTTTTGGGTAGCTGCTCCATTATGCTGGAAAGCTGGAAGAATCTCATGACTTCACTAGGCGTACTTTGTAAAACAGTAGATAGGGCTACATAGCGCAATCAAAACTTAATTCGGCTTCTGTTGGAACATAGCAAAACTAGAATGGATGCATTTTGCATTTCGAGCATTGGAACTGCAATGTGAGGTGGGCCAAAAGTGATGCACCCTGGGTCATGAAGATACAATCTCCTCTTCTTTTGGGCCGATCGGCTGCCAGTAGAGTCCAAAGATTTTGAAAATGATCTGCATACGTCCAAAATATGAAAGAAGACCTTGGCAGCTGTCCGCCGATGTATACCTTGAGGAAGCCAGTCGCATAATGCCGACGTAGCTAAATGAAAGGTAGTTGCTGAGTAGTAGGTGAATCAAGATAATACACCGTCGCCCTCACTTGGCCCATTGTAATTCCAAAAAAAAAGTAATTGAGCCTTTGGACAATAGAGTGGCATTATTGCTCATTGAATTGTCTATGGGACTGTTATTTCAGTTTTTATTTTTGGGCGGGTCAATGCATAGCATGCTTGAGTGATTGAAAAGTGACGAGCATGTCAAAAGCGCTGAAAGCAGCAGCGCGCACTCGAGTAAATTATTCGAACCGACTGTTGAGAATGATGATGCCTTCAACTCTCTTCAATCATATATTTCACACGTATAGCATCGACCAAAGAAGCCAATATGACATCCAGCAAGCCTATCGCCAGTCGCCCTTATATTCCCGGCGGCCTGGTATTGAGCGACTTGAAGAAATATCAGCAGCTTGGACGCTTTTATGCGCAAAACATGGGCTTCATTGAAGAGGCTCGCAAATTACTCTCTTACTACCGCCAGAACCCTCCGGATTTGAAGAATACCACCGTTAAACCTCGACCATCGAACAACGAACACCCAAAGTGGACATGGAAACCGTTGAGGGGCCGAATGTTTAGGTTGTCAGGCATCAGAGGCAAGAAGAGAAAACGAGAAAGC